ACACGAGTCTGCAGTTGGGACACGAGCCTGCAGCTGGGACACGAGTCTGCAGCTGGGACACGAGTCTGCAGTTGGGACACGAGTCTGCAGCCTTCCCAGCAGGCAACGTGCAAAGATTGAGACGCACATTCACTTCACTTGCACTTGAATTCCCACTATATCTTCCGTTTTGAAAAAAACAACACAAAACCCCCACAAAAAACAAACGCACGCGACAAAAAAAACCCCAAATCCAATCCAAACAAACATGGCTGAGGCCAGGTTTTGGCCCTTCGTCTTTGTCCGGTGCCCGAGGGGCTCAGCTACGGATTGAGCTGCAAGAACAGGACGCGGTGGTCAGCGTGACCGTTTCCACGTGCGTGCCGGAGGAGCCGGGCTCAGACTGAACACTGTATTTTAACAGCGTCTCCCCATTCATTTCAGTTGCCAGAGGAGTTCAAAAGCTGCGGAGGTCCCAGCAGACTGTAAACCATTCTTAGGGGCTGTTTCTGGTTTTCTCCCTGTAATTGTTTCATGTAAGCTTGGGTAACCTGTGAAGTAACTCCGCTCTCTGAAGTTGGTTAAGGAGCGAAGAAGCATTAAAGGCCTTGAACTTTGAAGTTGTTGCTCCCAGAAGCGCAGCTTGACTGGCCAGGGCGCTTTTTGAGCCTCCTAACTTGTTTCCATTAGAAAAGAAGATACCTTGCTCTCCCCTTCCCTCTTTTTAACACTGCAACGTCTGGGTAAGCTAGTCCGTTTTGAGACACAAGTCTTGGCAATGGTTTTCGTCAGAATTCTCTATTTTAGCCCATTCCATTCCCTCTCAGGACAAGTGGATTTGGCATCTTAAAACACGTATATATTTTTTCCTCCTATTAATGTTCGATTGTTAACTTATTTTGAACAGACTCGAAAATAATACATTGCTCAGCACAAGAGGATTTTTTTTTTTTTGATCCGAGAAATCGTAAATCTCGTCTGATACAAACCTGACGTCAATATTTAATTCTGAAGGGCAATAAATCCTTGCTGTAAGAGGAAGGCAGGCAATGATAGGTATTCCATATTCAGAATACTAAATCCTGACCCTACGGAAGTCAATCAAGATTCTCCTTGACATGAAGGGGATCAGGATTTAGGCCTGCATTTCTTTCCACGAAGTAATTGTTAATCTCTTCTTCCCGGCCAGTGATGTCAAGAATCTAATTTTGTTTTTTTTTTTACTTGAAATGTGTAAGAAGAGGAACCAAAGTTGGAAGCACAGAAGGGGCAAAGTCTTCTGCTGACTGGAGGATGAGGAAGCATTTTCACCGATTCCACTGCATTGCCCCCGGATCGTTAGCGCAGTAGCATACCTCAGCACTGTTGACTACCCAGTATGTAAATCTGGAGACTTCCTGAATCATCACATTTCATTTCAGCTAATCAGCAGCAGGAACTTTTCTCACATATGTAACAAGTTAATTAAATTGCAATGGAGCGCTGAACACAAACTATAAGTAATTTATGTATCTCTGTGTTTAGAGGCTGGATGAGATTCATAATGCCAGTAGTTATGATATTGCTGAGTCTAAACGAGCCGAGTACGAGGAGGACATACTCCAGCTGTCAGAAGCACTCATGACCTTGGAAATGCGGATAGCTGACCAGCTGGAGGTAAGGGTCTCAAGCACATACCTGTGCAGCCTCACATCCAGAACGTGGGGGGGTGTGCGGGTGTGTGTGTGATTTTTTCATTGCCGCACCCCTCTGTTTAATAGCCCTTTGCACAAAGAGGGGGCACACGTTTATCCGGTCAGGCTAATGCTTTGTTTGTCTCCACCTTATTCTTTCTCTGCTCAGAGTTGATCTGGGTGAGCTCAGGCCCTGGACATTGATCCACCGCAACAGATCTCTGTTTCTCAGAGCAGAGCACAGTTATGTCCTTCACGTCTATCCAAGCCGATTTCCCAGGCTTTAGAGAAACGGGCTCGAGGTCGCTCAGTCATTCTATAGGTCTGCGCACAGCAGTCGCTGCGCAGCGTGGGGTATGGTTTGGGATTCGAGAGGGGGAATTCTCTGAGCCGATCTTTGCTCCTTCTTGTCTTTGCATTGTTAAAGACGCATTTGCTTGTGTAATAGCTGCCTTATTTCTCCCCAGACTTTTCCTCAAAAACTAGGGCAGGGCTGCTAATATGCCTCTTCATTTACCAAAAAAAAAAAAAACCCCCAAAAATAACCTGTTTAAAAATCAGCAGGCAGGAGCTGAGGCCTGTGTGCAAGCAGATGCAGCAGTTTACTTTTGTGACCGTGCCTGATGGAAAGCAGCAGCTCAAAATGGATTCCTCGCTGCATCAGGATTGTGCCTTTTAGTGTTTTCTGAATTGATCCTGAATATCTGCAGTCGCTGGTGGAATGAGCAGAAATGTTCCTCCCTGCACGCCCTTCTGGATTTGCAGGATTGGGGTGGCTGGATTTAAACTGTTGTACCGAGACATTTAAGGGCGACACTTCACAGATTCTCCATCAGCCATTTTTGAGAGAGGGAAGAGGCAGCAGCAATTTTAATTTCTGAGGACTAAAACAAAAGCTGCAGTAAGCCCAGGCATTGGTTATGCTTCTGACAAGAGGCTCTTCACGCACACAAGGAGACTGCAGCATGGCATTGTACAGCAATACAGCACTCTCCATGCATTACTTGAGGGTGAAAAGGATCAGCTGGCTTCCTCCAGACACGGGGTGAAGGTACCGTTCCGTCAGCTTCCCTCCATAAACTGATTCTAATTTTCTGTCCCTGAAGGAGGAAGGGAAATCTTGCAGCATTTTCAGAACACTTTTAATGCCTGAGGCAGTTCAGTTTCTGACTGTGCTAATAACAGCAGTGAGTCCAAATTATAATCAGTTGTAGATTCTTTCTAGACTCCCTGACGCCTTTTTTTGTTTATGCAAGTTTTCATTGTAATATTTCCTCTTTTTCCCCTCTTAAGGAACTAATAAAGGATTTTAAAAGAAACATTGCTGTCCTGGCATCAACATTCATTGAAAACGTTAAAGGGATATATCCTTTTGACAGTAGGTTGGCCTGGATCTGCCAGTGATGTAAGTATATTTCACCTCTAAATCCAGAAATGAGCCATCAATATTGAATTTGATTTTTTTAAGGGTTTTTTTTTTTTTTAAATCAACAGAAAAGGTATTTTCCTGGCTTTGCAAGAATGGTCATTTAAGGTGCCCAGCTTCTGTCTGTGGAGACTCTGGAGAGCACAAAAGGATCTAAGTTCTGCTGTGCTGAAAGTCTGTAGGACAGCTCTCTCCCCCTTGGGAACCTTCCTTCCCTCTCCACACAGCCTTGACACAACCCTGCTTTAGACTGTTTGCTATGTACATTCTTACCACAGCAGCCAATGAAATACCTACAATTCTTGTTGAAGTTTCTTTAAACGGCCTTAAGTTTTTATGCTGTTGATGTCTTCTGGAACAACGTGAGATGAGAATACCAAAGTGCTTCAGGGACAGGCTACACGACTCAAAATAGAGAAATCTGTTGGCCTGGTGCAAATAATTGCACCGTATTCAGAGCTTAGCTTAAACCCTGGGAGGTCTCCTCCCATTCCCTTTGCAACCCTAGGCCCGCTCTCAGTTCTGCCTAACACCTGGCAGCGAGGATGAGACCCCAACGTGCGATGAAGAGCGGGAAGCTTACATCCCGACATCACAGCAGCCTCTGGCAGCAGCCAGGCTCTCTTTCCTGCGGCGGCCCACTGTGCAGACACTCAGTCTCTAGTTGCAGGAGGTCATTTAATCTCCAAGAGTGGTGTGGTCGGCTTTTTCCTTAACCCTCTGCTGTACGACGACCCGCTGCCGGGACCTGGAAAACCGTCACCATGAAAAGCTGCTGGAGATCTGCGTTGTCGCACTGGAGAGATCCGTCAAGGATGAGCTTGACGCGGATTTGCCAGATGACGTTCGAATGGTGAGGGCGCCAAAATATTCGCCTGTGCTAAGGAGGCAGCAAGAAGAGGAGGCCACAGCCTCTTCTCAGAAGGGACAGGGTTTCCAGGAGGCTCGATACAGCTAAAGCCATGGCTAAACCAGAGCGTAACCTCCTCCCACGAGGCCTCAGCCCTTGCAGTGTCACCAGACATCTCTGCTGACTAGGACAGAGGAGAACTGCACTGCAGGTTTCCCTAGGTGCTGTCAGAGCTGGTGGCAGCAGCCCAGGAGAGGTGCTGAGGAAGGATCTTATCTCTTTCTTATCCTTATCTCTTTCCTGCCTCCAGCACAACTCACTTCACTGGCTGATTTCCAGACAGCCCCAACCCAGCAGGCACTCTTCGCTGACGGTGTTCAGATTCTCCCTCCTCCCCCAGGAGAATCCAAACACCGCTCTGACTTCCTTGCACTGGGGCTCTGTTTGCCTCGGTGATTTCAAAAGCCCTTCCTGGAGCTGCCCAGCCCACGAGCTGATCTGGAGGCAGGACATGACATTTCAAACGGAGCCTTCCACCGCACCCTCAGTCTTGCTGCGATAGCAAAGGTCCCAGGAGCCCTTCAGAAAGCACAAAGATCGTTGCAGTGCTCCGGTCGGTGACGCTGCTGACCTTTCTGCCTCTGTTATTCCTTCGTTTAGTGGCTAAATGAGTCGAGTTTTGCCTTCACAGTGGTTTTGCTCTGTCCAGATTATCCCAGCACCCCCCCCACACCCCGTTACTGCAGGTAATCGAGAGCTGACAGACACAAACCAGACCCCTCAGCCCCCCTGGAGAAACTCCCTGCTTTGTGGCCTGTGCAGATGGCTGCAGTTACGCACCGTCGCTTTGCACCCGCTCTGCCTCGCTGCCATCCGTCTCCACAGAGAAACCCTCTCCATTTGTCCAACAGCTGCACTTGGCTGCAGGAGAAGAGTCATTACGGTTTAGCGAAGCCACCCCCTCTTTCGAGCCACAGGGGAAGCCGCTGCTTCGATTAGAAGCTGGGACTCTCCAAAAATGAAGATTTACAGCCCATGCCACCAGTGCAAGAGACCTTTCCAAGTGCCGTTTTCCACCTCCCGCGCCCGCTGGAGCACACGAAGCCTTGCTTCGACACCAGCTGCCCGCAGGGGCCTGCCATGCGCTGCAAGGCCTTCGCTCCCTGCTCCAGCAGGCGAGGCTGGGGTTGCTGCCTCAGTTTCCCCACCCGTGCAAAACTCCCGTTACACCGTAGCGAGGCTCAGCCACATCCTCACGAAGGGTAAAGCCCTGGATTCCTCCTGGGGACTGGGGCTTTGTCCGGCCGAAGCACAGGGCTGATTTTCTGCAGTTCCTGGGCGGCTCATTCCGAGCTCCGAGGCTTTCGCTGCGCGCCCGCCCCCCTCCTCTCATCCGGTCACGTTGCCTCCTAGCTTCTCGGGGACACCACCACCATTGTCAACGCCGCCAACGTGTCCCACAGCATCCGCCTGCGGAAGATTGATAAGCGAGAGAGCGACATCCTCAGCAACGCCTACCGCTGGCAGGCCTCCGTGACAGAGCAGGTAAGAGACCCCCACGCTCAGGGGGATGGGGCGCAGACAGGTCTGGCCCAAGCGGTGGGGACACGGCTCGGGACGGTGCTTCATGACCTTTGCTGGAGCCCTCTGGGCTCCAGGGACCCTGGGGGTTCACTGCCTGGTTTCAATCTGTCCAGGCTCTCCAAAACGAGATCGACAGAAACCGCCACCGCGTCAAAGAGATCGTTCAGTACATCGACAGGCTCCAGGAGGAGCTGGGTAACACGGAGATCCTGGAGCTGACGGAGTAGGGCTGGGCAGCTGCCTCCGCTGGGGGCACACAGGACAGCCCCCAGCGGCAGCAGAGCCAGCCTCTCTATGCCTGGGACACTTCAGGCCAAAGGCATTCTTCTTCCCTCCCACCATAAACCGCAAATAAAAGATACTTTAAAATAAAAGCAGACGAAGCTCTGTCTCTTCCATCACGTTGGCCTGCGCAGACAGAGCTCAGACTCGGTCACAAGGGGTTATGGATCAGCTGCGAGAGGCTTGAACCGAATCATCGTCGCCTCTCATGCCTGAAAGCTTCGGTACCTGCGAGCAGAGCGGCAGGAACCGGTGAGCCACAGGCGCGCGGCAGCAGCCTGGGAGAGGAGCGCTCTCCATCAAACCACCTCCCGGCTAACAGCGAGTTTCCAGCTCAGCAAGCACCAGGCTGGCGGGGAGGCTCTGCGTGCCTGGAAGCCTCGTCTCCTCACCGCCTCTCGCAAAGGAAAAAAAAAAAAAAAAAAAACCCAAAAAGCAGCTTTCTGCAGCGTGAACACGGCAGCCCCCAGCTAGCGGGAAGGGAAATCAATGGTTCCACGGGAGCTCACACACCGCCGCTCGCAACAGCCAAGCGAGGAGTCATTAATTCCCCTCCTTGTTCGGTGACAGCAGCTGCTACGCGCTCGCTGGTGGGCAGCTTCTGAGGAATGACGCCGGCCGGGGCGGGACTGCTCGAGGCAAGCAGCAAGGAGCAAGGTGGGAAGGTTAAACGAGAGGGTGGCTGCAGACGCACGCCAGGGAGAAACCTGTCTCTGAAAACCCCGTGGCTGGTGCTGCCTGTCATACACAGATTCAGCTC